AAAACCCAAAACAAAGAGCTGCTTTCCGTTAAGGGTAAAGATATTCACCTGTAGTCTATCTGACTCCATCAACTCATTTTGTTATTCATTTTTCAAGGCTACCTCTCAGGTGCTGCTTTTATCTGCCTATGAATATACCCAAGTCGCAGACTCCCGCCTCTTCCCATCACCCATTCGTTCTGGGTGGGAACAATCCACTTTCATGATGGTGAGAGCAGAGAGAATGACCTAAGTAAGTGTGAGTGTCTCTGCTGCTGTAATCACAAGGCATCTTCACTCAGGGAAGGAGCCACTATATTCCTGGCATCGCATGGTTTCAGGTGTGGCTCTTGGCCAAACAGGCTTAGCAGTGGGAAGTAGAAATTAAATGACTTATCCAGTTACTTGAGCTGGGTTAGGGTAGGAAGCCAGAGGTTTATGTCACTCTCCACTCTGGGGGTTCTCAAATGTACATGTTCATCCTTACGCATTTGTACGAAGCCAGAAATTCCTCTTTTGTTTCCTTTTCTAACTTCATTCGGGTTTCCCCCCAATATCTCCTTCAGGGAACCATGCTCCGTCTCCTGGGGGGGTCCAGAGAGCTAACTACCTCTGTGCACCCTTTAGTCTTGGGTATTTACCTTCCTTGTTTTCCCACGTGGCTCTAATGCGGTTTTGCTGTACTGGGCTACCTCGTTTAGTAAATGAGCAGTTCGTGGTGTTACCTGCAGTCCTAACTGGTCGTCCTTCAGTTACGTGAGAACCAAATTATTGATCTGTAAGCAGCAATCAGGCTAGAACGAGATGGTGACTTTCTGCCCATTTTAATGGCCTGCTTCATTCATGCTGTGCTGCTGTGTGTTCTGTCTTCAGATGCAAGCCTTTTTCCTCCTCACTGTCTGATCCAAAATTCCATCAGCTTTCGTGTCCCCCTCACATTGCTATGCTTGTCAAGGACCTTCACCCCTCCCGTCACCTGTGGGCTCTTAAACCTGAAATGTAGGTTTTCACTCTCCCCGTCCGGTTTCTAAGAAGAGCTCTGTGTGGCTCCAAGTCGCCACCACTCCTGTGTGTCCCAGTCTACTCAATCTGGCTTCTAACCTCATCACCCGCCACCTTCCTGAAATTTCTTCCTTCTCATCTTAACTGAAAAACATGAGAGGCGGCGTGTTTACCCTTTGACTTTCTATGACCTGGGTGACTTATTTCCCTTTAACATTTTTTCTTCCCCAAACCAAATGCATGTTCATCAGAGACAGCATTAAAAAAGGGACAATATCTGGATAAAGTCATCCATGGACTGGAAACTCAGACATAGTCATTGGGTTTTGGTGGTGTATATCCTTCTAGTACTTTTCTGTCTGAGGAGGTGACTGTCTGTCTTGCTTCAGTTGGCACGTTACAGGTGTGATGACGCTTTTTGGTTGTTGCGCTCTTCTGACTTAGCATTTTATTTTATTTTATTTTATTATTTTTTTTGCAGTACGCGGTCCTCTCACCGTTGTGGCCTCTCCCGTTGCGGAGCACAGGCTCCAGACGCGCAGGCTCAGTGGCCACGGCTCACGGGCCCAGCCGCTCCGCGGCACGTGGGATCTTCCCGGACCGGGGCCCGAACCCGCGTCCCCTGCATTGGCAGGCAGACTCTCAACCCCTGCGCCACCAGGGAAGCCCATGACTTAGCATTTTAGCGTGAGCATTTTTATATTAAATATAACAATTGTGAGCTCTTATCATATGTTGTGATTTGAAGCATTTTTCACAGTAAGTCTTCTCATTGGGTGTAATTCCCCCCCACGTACTTACTTAACAGTGTTTTTCTTCTGGTGAATCTTCCCCAGTGTTGCCCATTTAATGCCCGAGGATGTAAGGATTTTTGTTTATTTATTTGCTTTTTGTTCCGTTGAGGTAGTGTCAGTGATTGAGAGCACAGGTTCTTGAGGTAAACTCCTGGATATAATCTTGGCTTCAGCTTGAGCAGATGTGAGTACTTGGGCCTTTGTTTCCCTATGCCCGTGATCCTAAAACTGGCGTTTATCATAATCACCTGGAAGCTTTGTTAAAACACGGTTTTCTGGGCCCACCTCCAGAGTTTTTGATTTTGTAGGGCTGGGGATAGGGCTTAAGAATCTGCATTTTCATGAGTTCCCAGATGATGCTGTGGTCTGTGGGCCATACGTTGAGAATCACTTCCCTAAGCCTCAGATTCATCATATGAAGCATAGATAATAGAATTTACCCCGTAAGATGGTTGCAAGAAAAAAACATGATCTGTAGACGAGCTTATAATAGTTCCTGTACATGGTAAATACTCAGATGTTGACTATCATAGTGGCTCCTTAGAAAGACAGGGATTACAGACAATGTAAAGGAGATTATCCAGATAAAGGGGGTATGTTTCTAAAGTGAACAACTTATATAGTCGTATTTTGTCTTTTATTATGTCACTTCTAAGTTAAAAAGCTATGCTGACTTCCTCTTGATTTTTTGAAACATTTTTTCGTGTGTGCGTTTGTATATGTATAAATATAATCTCTGGTTGTACGTATTTACTATCATACTTAATTAGCTAATCATACTTGATGAGCGATTACATCAGCGTATGTTCATGTATATAGTCACACTCCCATGTAATCACTAACCACGTCAATAGACAACTTTTCCAGAACTTTTCCAGTGGATGTTTACTCCTCTCTCTGAGCTGTTTGGGAAAGGCAACCGCTACTCTGACTACTACCACCACGGGTTAGCTTTGCTTGTTGTAAATTTCATATACATTGAATCAACTCAGAGTTCTTGTTGTATGGTTTCTTTTACAACTACAGTTTGGGGACATGAAGAATAAAGGTTCTGTGAACAGATGGGCATGCATCTTTTGCACACCTAAGCACTGATTGTCGTGGGGTTTCTGATCGGAGGTAAAATTGCTGTGTCATAGAGCACACGTGCTTAGTTAGCTGTAGCGAAAACCACCCGCAAGTTTGGCCGTGGTGTTTTCTCAATTTAAATTTACCTACTTACTTATTTTTGGCTGCGTCGGGTCTTCGTTGCTGCGCGTGGGCTTTCTCTAGTTGCGGCGAGCAGGGTCCACTCTTCGTTGGGGTGCCCGGGCTTCTCATTGTGGTGAGTTCTCTTGTTGCAGAGCTTGGGCTCTAGAGTGCAGGCTCAGTAGCTGTGGCTCGGGGGCTGTAGAGCGCAGGCTCAGTAGTTGTGGCGCGCGGGCTTAGTTGCTCCGCGGCACGTGGGGTCTTCCCGGACCAGGGCTCAAACCCGTGTCCCCTGCATTGGCAGGCGGATGCTCAACCCCTGGGCCACCAGGGGAGCCCTGTTTTCTCCGTTTACCTGTGCCAGCGTGTAAGAGTTGTCCTTCATTGTGTGAAGTGCTTGTGCCCGTCTTTAATTTTAACCATTCTGATGGGGGTGTCGTTTTTTTCTGTTCATCAGGTTCTTAATTTGCATTTCTCTGAAGTCTAATGAGGTTGAAGGTCTTTCAGTATGCTTATTGGCTATTTGGCCGTTCCTTTTTTGAAGCGCCTTTTCCAAATCTTTTGATTTCTTTCCATTGAGTTTTATCTTGTTTTAATATGTCAGGGAGGAAGAAATGTTCCTCCACCCTTCTAGGGTCTTCTGCCTGGCCTAAGAGACTGATAAACAAGAAAAAAATATGACAGTTGTTTAGCACCATATGTATAAATGGGAGAGAGTCAGGGAGACTGCATAACTGGCCAAAATGGCCAAAACCCTTACCTTAAGTACCATCTTCAGCTAAAGACTGTCGACTAAAAAAATATTTTCACCACCTAAAAGTTGAGAGTTATGTTATATTTGGGGGGTTTGCTGAGGACTTCAAGCCTGGGAGTCAGGGTCTCAAGTAACCCTGAGAGAACTGCTCTGAGGAGGTGAGGGGGGAGCTAGGATATACAGGAGTTTTGCAATAAAGGGCAGGTGGTAGGAACAAAAGGTTACCGTTAATAAAAGACAGAGTTAAGGCACTTAGCACTTTTCTATGTATGGGAAGACGCAAGAGTCTGGGCTCACTGAAACCATCCCTTTGACAGGCACCTTGGCTATCTGGGGTCAGTGTCCTGCTTTCTCATCCTGAGTTCCCTCAGGGCTCACCAGCTCGCTGGTGGCTGGTGGCTGTAATGCTGATGACTGTGACATCCTTTGTTTACTGATATGGCAGGAAATATTCCATTTCTCAAGACAAAAGGGGATGTTGTGGGTAGCGGTTTGGGACTTCAAAGGGGAGAAAGGCAATTGACAGGAAGACAGAAAAGCAAATGTTTGGTAAACAAGTGTTTGCTGGGCCAGGCAGGAGCATAGAGTGGACTCTGGTCTCCAGGCCCTGCTGAGTTCCCCCTGCCACACTTAGCTCATGTTCTTTGCATATACCTCTGGTGGCAGCTCTATTCCAAGAAGAGACCCTCTGTCTAAAATTTTTTAGGAAGTTAGGGGGAAAGTCAAAGTTTCTTTCTGAGTCTTTTGGGCAGGTTATTGATGGCCAGGGATGGGGAAGAGGGAAATGGGGAATGAATGCTTGATGCATACGGGGTATCTGTTTGGGGCGATGAAAGTCTTCGAACTAAATAGTGGTGATGGGGTTGCATAGCTCTGAAAATGTTTTCAGTGCCACTGAATCGTACGCATTAAAGTGGTTAAAACTGTTGTGTATTTTACCATAATAAAAATAAAGTAGACTCAAGAATACTTGAAGTTCTCTTTATCTACAATAAGGTCTAATCTAGGAAGCACGAATAGCCCTGTGGGTCGAGCTTTCATCCATGTGGGTTTAACGAAGGGTTCACAGTACAAAGAATAGATAACTCAAAGCTAGTGCAGCTGAATCTGGCCTCTACCCCGACACTGAATTAAATCTCGGAGACAGTTTTGGGTGACGTAGAAATGAATAGCTTTCTTGCTCTGCCAGGCAGAGGGGGGCACGGCGGGCTCACGCCCGCAAAGCTGTGCCTGCCCTGCCCCGCCCCGCCCCCTTGGAGCGGGTAGTGAGGAGTCTTATAGGAATGGTTCAAGGAGGCCGTGATCAGCTCGTGGACATTTCTTCTGACTGGTTGGTAGTGAGGTAAGTGGAAGTCAGCGTCATCAACCTTCAAGTTACAGCTGGTCAGGGGTGTATGTGCTTTTGGGCAGCATATCATCATTAACCGTTAACTTCTCCCACCTGGAGGGGGTTTCAGTATCTGCAGAACAGCTCAAAGATATTGTTGTATGTATTCCTTGATGGGGAACCAGGACCTTGCCCCAAGGCTGCACAAATGTTTCTCTTGACTGTTTGTTTCTCCCTGGTCTCACATCCCCCTAATTAACAACTGCTTGAATCTGCTTCTTGGAACTCAGGGAAGGTCATGGAGGCTGAATGAAGGCTATTTCCTGTAATCAAGAAATGGGGGACACAGAAAGGCTTGGTGCCCAGGAGTCCCACAGGGCCCTGCTAGGTATCATTGGGAGAGGCAAAAGGAGACTTGGGGGTTAGAAAACGCAGGTGGAGAACTACTGCCTTTTTTTTTTTTTGGCCATGCAGAATGCAGGATCTGAGTTCCCCTATCAGGGATCGAACCCACAGCCCCCGCATTGGAGTCTTAGCCACTGGACCGCCAGGGAACTACTGTCTTACAGTCGTAGCTTTGGTGTTTGGTCGTGTGCGTGGTAATTTTCCTTTTCTTCCTCATTTCTGGTGTAGGGGAGCAAAACTTACCACCCCAAAATGTCTCTTTGGCGTCAGATTATTCAAGCTGAAAACAATCAAGGCCCAAACTACTCAGGAAGAAACTTTGGCTTCCTCTTAACCACCTTAAGACTTTAGATAGAGACCCTGTTCCCAGAACAGAGCTATCACCAGAGATGTCTGCAAAGAACGTGGGCTAAGGGTGGTGGGGAAACTCAGCGGGATCTGGAGGTCAGAGTGCACTCTGGGTCCCATAGTTCCTGCTGGCCCAGCAAACATCTGTCTACCGAATATTTGCTTTTCCATTTCCAAGTGTATTTCCTTTCTCTCCTTTGAAATCCCAAACCATTACCTTCAACATCTTCCTTCTTTTGTTTAGCTGAGATGGTATTTAAGGTGAGGGTTTCAGCCATTTTGGTGAGTAATTCAGTTTTCCTGGGTCATGTATGTATTATTAAAATTTTGTTTTTTTCTCTTGTTAACCCATCTCATGTCAATTTAATTCTTAGACCAGCCAGAAGAGCCCAGAAGCGTAGAGGAACATTACTTCCTCCCTGACGCTGGTTCTTTACAGTATGAATTTTCCAGCTAAGTGTAATCAGTGGCACCCCACTTCTCTCCCATTACAGATCAATATAGGTGAATAGGAGAGAGAGAAACACGATGGAGAAATTTTCTATCTGGAAGAATACACTTTGGCCAGGAGATGATGGTGGTTTCCACAACATTACCCAGAGAAGCCCAAAGTTGCTGTCATACTTGAAGCCCCAAACGTCCATACATTCGATGCCACTTACAGTGGTGCTGCATGGTCCTGCCGGCGTCGGGAAAACCACAGTGGCCAAACAGCTGATGCTGGACTGGACACAGGACGACCAGGCAGAGACATCCAATTCCGCCTTCTATCTCAGCTGCAAGGACCTCAACCACAAGGGGACGTGCACTTTTGCAGAGCTGATATCTGCGAACGGGCCGGATTTGCAGGATGCCGTTCCAGGGATCCTCACGCAAGCCCGCAAAATCCTGTTCGTCATTGATGGCTTTGATGAGCTGAGAGTCCCCTCGGGGGCGCTCATCCATGACATATGTGGCGACTGGAAGAAGCAGAAGCCAGTGCCCGTCCTCCTGGGGAGTTTGCTGAAGAGAAAAATGTTACCCAGGTCCACTTTAGTGATCACCACTCGACCGGGGGCTCTGAGGGGGCTCCGGCTCCTGGTTGAACAGCCACTCTTCATAGAAATCGAGGGGTTCTTGGAGCTGGACAGGAAGGCGTATTTCCTGAAACACTTTGAAGAGGAGACTCAAGCCCTGCGAGCTTTTGAGTTGACAAAGAAGAACGCAGCTCTGTTCCGCATGGGCTCGGCGCCTGCTGTGTGCGGGATTGTCTGCACGTGCCTGAAACGGCAGATGGAGAGGGGGGAAGACCCTGCCTCCACCTGCCGGACCACCACGTCCCTGTTCCTGCGTTTCCTCTGCAGCCAGTTCACAGCAGCTCGCAGCAGCTGCCCCAGTGACTGTCTCCAAGCTCCGCTGAAGTCTGTGTGCCTCTTGGCTGCTGAGGGCACGTGGACACAGACATCTGTGTTTGATGCAGAAGACCTCAGGAGACTTGGGGTACAGGAGTCTGCCCTCTGTCCTTTCCTGGACAAGAATATTCTCCAGAAGAGCGAAGACTGTGAGGCCTGCTACTCTTTCATCCACCTCAGCGTCCAGCAGTTTCTTGCCGCCATGTTCTATGTCTTGGAGACAGAGGAGGAGGACGTGGGTGGCCACAGGTGCCACGTTGGGGATGTGCAGGAGCTGCTGTCCAAGGAAGGAAGACTAGAGAACCCCAACCTGACCCAGGTGGGCTACTTTGTATTTGGCCTCTCCAACAAAGAAAGGGCCATGGAGCTGGAGGCGACTTTTGGCTGTCTGGTATCCACGGAGGTCAAGCAACAGTTACTGAGATGCAGATCAGTGCCCCATGGGAAGAAACCCTTCTCAGCCGCGGACGCGAAGGAGCTTTTGTGTTGTCTTTATGAATCTCAGGAGGAGAAGCTGGTGGAGGATGCAATGGCCCCCGTCACGGAGATCTCCATCCGCTTGACCAATACGTTGGAAATGACGCAGTCTTCTTTCTGCCTTAAACATTGTCAAAACTTGCAGAAAATTTCACTGCAGGTAGGAAAGAGGATATTCCTGGAGAATGACACCACGTTGAAATCAGATGCTCAGATTGAGAGGTAAGAACCCATTTAAAAAATATGTATGTTTTTAATGTTACTAGTTTTCCCATCTTCAGCCTCAGCCCACACTCTTTTAGGAAGAGGACAGAGTCCCTACTACTCCCTATGGCTTAGGGTCAGAATTCTCTGGAATGTCTGGCTGAAACTTCTTTCTGCCAGCTCACCATTAAAGTTGGGAAACATGATGTTCAGATTAGGAATGGGAGGCTTTGGAACCTTACTTTTTTTAGTATTATAGTTTTATAGTATATACTACTATATATTATATATACTATAATGCTATAGCATAGTATACTGTGATACTAGAGTATAATACTGTAGCTTTATAGATTATAGTTTCTGTGTGGCAAATGGGCTCAGGACACTCTAGACATTTCATATAACTTCCCTCCCTGCCAATTCTTTCGAAAAATTTGTTTTAATACATAGCCACCATGCTGTACATTACATCCCAGGATTTAGTTATCTTATAACTGGGTGTTTGTACCTTTTGATCAGCTCACCACTTTTTAAAAAAATAGATAAACAAATTTATTTATTTATTTTTGGCTGCACTGGGTCTTTGTCGCTGTGCGTGGACTTTCTCTAGTTGTGGCGAGTGGGGGCTACTCTCCGTTGCAGTGCGCGGGCTTCTCATTGCGGTGGCTTCTCTTGTTGTGCCGCACGGGCTTAGTTGCTCCGCAGCACGTGGGATCTTCCCGGACCAGGGCTTGAACCCATGTCCCTTGCGTTGGCAGGCGGGTTCTTAACCACTGCGCCACCAGGGAAGTCCGTTACTTGTCTTTTTGATGTTAGTCATTCTCACAGGTGTGAGGTGGTATCTCACTGTGGTTTTGATTTGTGTTTCCATGGTGATTAGTGATGTTGAATATTTTTCATGTCCCTGTTGTCCATTTGTAGGTCATCTTTGGAAAAATGTCTATTCAGGTCCTCGGCCCACGTGCTACAATAGTTTTTCTTTTCTGTTGAGTTGAACTGTTTGAGTTCTTTATATATTTGAGATACTAACCCCTTATGAGACACACAGTTTGCAAACATTTTCTCCCATTTAGTAGGTTCATGTTTATTTGGCTGATGCTTTCCTTTGCTGTGCAGCCTACTCATTCTTGTTGCTTTTCCTGTATGTGCTTTTCATAGGTGGTCTTGTCGATGCCTTTCTCCTAGGTCACAGCACGACCATCATTCTCTTCACCTCTGGGCAGATCTCTGCTCTGTGTTCAGTTCAAACAAGAACCTGAACTTTCTGGATGTGAGGGAAAGCTTTCTGAGTCAGTCCTCAGTGAGGATTCTTTGTGAGCAGATAACCCATGTCACCTGTCATCTCCAGAAAGTCGTGTAAGTAGCAGCTGATCTTGCAATGGTGATCCCCAGGTGTTTTAAATGTGGGAGCAGTATTGGCATGCCCAACCAGGCTCTGACCAGTCAGGTGCTCAGAATGCAAAGAAATGAAATGGTTGCTATCCTTAAATGTGTCTAGTTGGAGAATATTACGTTGAGTCATTTTTATGAAATTTGGCCAGGAATTTGGATGTTCACATACATCTGCTGTGGGGCGTATTCAAAACTCAGCCTATAGAAAATATAGCCACATGCGTGTTAGGAGAACTGGGTGGGAATTGGGGAAATACTCCAGAGAGGAAAGTTTCAGATACGTGAGTAAGAATGTATCGATGAAGCCAATGGTGCACTTATGACTAATGTGTGGGATGGGATTGAGAAATTAGTCTGAGTAGAGTAGGTTGTGGCAGAAGCAACTTAAGACGTGGGTCACCTGGGCAGGTGATTATTAGCACGTCCTTTTAAACCAACACATGTTCTTTTCGGTGATAGCCATTCTGTCAGGTGAAGTGATATCTCATTGTGGTTTTGATGGGCATTTCCCCAATTAGTGATGCTGAGCATAATTTTCATGTGATTATCTGTTGGGTATCTGTATGTTTCCTTCCGAACAATGCCTATTTAGATCCTCCACCCGTTTTTAATTGGATTGTTTATTTTTTGATATTAATCTGTATGAGTTCTCTATTTGGGATATTAACCCCTTACTGGATATATTGTTTTGCAAATATCTTCTCCTATTCAGTAAATTGCCTTTTTGTTTTGTTGGTTTCCTTCACTTTGCAAAAGCTTTTCAGTTTGTAGTCCCATTTGTTTTCTGTTTTGGTTTCCTTCTCTGAATATACAGATCCAAAAAAATATTTCTAAGAGCAACGTCAAAGAGTACTGCGTGTTTTCTTCTTGGAGTTTTATGGTTTCAGATCTTAAGTTTAAATCTTTAATCCATTTTGAGTTTATTTTTGTATATGGTGTGAGGAAATGGTCTGGTTTCATTCTTTTACATGTAGCTGTCTAGTCCCCCAGTCCCCAAAGGAAAAAAAAAACCACAACAAAAGGAAAACACAGCACATATTCAGGGGATAAACTTTATAAGTTATGTTTAAAATTACACGGATACATTGAAACTTCCCCCAAACCAACATACCTTAGAAGGCTTAATTAAGCCACTGAAAAGGTTGTGTTATTTACTTGGACAAATTGCTATGCCAAACGTCAGCTGACTGTACCTGCTGATGTCAGGTGACATGTATCTGGTTCACCTCAGAATGCCATAGGACTTGTGTGTACAAGGCCACAAAAATCTAACATAGGTTGGTGCCAGCAAAGGTGGCAATTTCTTCTGTATGACTTTGAAACGTTTACATTGTTCTGGCTTTATAAGGTGTGCATGAGAGAATAAAAACTAGGAGGTACATTTAATTTTTTCCACTAAGAGTTTAGGACCCTTTAGGCAGGAGCTTTGAACAGTAGCGTCTCCCTTATTCTGGCTCTCTGTGCTGAAATTTAATTATGAACTTCTGAACGAGCCACAGGGAATGTTCATTATCTAAAAGTGAAGCGTTGAGGGTTATAAGACCAAATGCCTGTTTATGGAGAAAAGTATTTCATAGTGTGTGTGTGGGGGGGTGAATTGCCAGGTTTGGAGGTACTAGATAAAAACAGATTAAGAGGACTTTCCTGGTGCTGCAGTGGTTAAGAATCTTCCTGCCAACGCAGGCGACACGGGTTCGATCCCTGGTCCAGGAAGATCCCACATGCCACAGAGCAGCTAAGCCCGTGCGCCACAACTACTGAAGCCCGCGGGCCTAGAGCCCACGCTCTGCAGCAAGAGAAGCCACCGCAGTGAGAAGCCCGTGCACCTCAATGAAGAGTAGGCCCCGCTCGCCGCAACTAGAGAAAGCCTGTGCACAGCAACGAAGACCCAACACAGCCAAAAATAAATAAATAAGTAAATAAATAAATAAAAATAAATAAATAATAAATAAATTTATATTAAAAAAACAGGTTAAGAAGCTCTAAAAACAAAAACGAAAATCAAGATCTGAAATAAGATTGTAGCGGAAGAGGCGGTAATCCAGGTGTTGATTTTTTTTTTCTCCCCCTCAAATTAGGGTGGATTAAGCATGCTTTAAAAAGAGGCCCTGACAAAAGTCCTTTCCCCAGTTATTTCCTACTATCTACACAGGAAAACTTACGAGCTAGCTTCATTATTGTATAACATGAGGTTGAAAGAGTCTTATGCTCAAGAAGGTGGCACAGTTAGGTGCTGGGAAAATCTTTTTTAAACACTGAAATGTTTCTTGAAGCCCAGAGTTTGATTAGAGAAAATTATGTTCCACTTAAGATTTATTCAAATCCCATTTAAAATCCTACAGTCACGCTAGATGACAGGAAAATAAAAAACAAACAACGCTGTTTTAAAAAAAATTTTTATCGTATAGTTGATTTACAATATTGTGTTAATTTCTTGTGTACAACAGAGTGATTCAGTTATACATATATATTCTTTTTCATATTTTTTCGATTATGGTTTATTACAGGATATGAAATATGGTTTCCTGTGCTATACAGTAGGACCTTGTTGTTTATCTATCCTATATATAAATAGTTTGCATCTGCTAATCCCAAACTCCCAATTCTTCCCTCTCCCACCGCCCCTCCTCCTTCGCAACCACCAGTCTGTTCTCTATGTCTCTAAGTCTGTTTCTGTTTCATAGATATGTTCGTTTGTGTCATATTTTAGATTCCACATATAAGTGGCATCATATGGTATTTGTCTTTCTCTGCTTGGCTTACTTCACTTAGTATAGTAATCTCTAGGTCCATCCATGTGGCTGCAAATGGCATTATTTCATTCTTTTTTATGGCTGAGTTGTATTCCATTGTATACCACAAGTTCTTTACCCATTCATCTGTCGATGTATATTTGGGTTGTTTCCATGTCTTGGCTATTGTAAATAGTGCTGCTATGAACATAGGGGTGCATGTATCTTTTTGAACTATAGTTTTCTTGGGATATATGCCCAGGAGTGGGATTGCTGCGTCATGTGGTAACTCTATTTTTAGTTTTTTAAGGACCTTCCATGCTGTTTTCCATAGTGGCTGCACCAATTTACATTCCCACCAACAGTGTAGGAGGGTTCCCTTTTCTCCACACCTCCTCCAGCATTTGTTATTTGTAGACTTTTTAACGAAGGCCATTCTGACTGGTGTGAGGTGGTACCTCATTATAGCTTTGATTTGCATTTCTCTAATAATTAGCGATGATGAGCATCTTTTCATGTGTGTATTGGCCATCTGTATGTCTCCTTTTTTTTTCTTTTTTTTTTTTTTTGCAGTACGTGGGCTTCTCACTGTTGTGGCCTCTCCTGTTGCGGAGCACAGGCTCCGGACGCGCAGGCTCAGCAGCCATGGCTCATGGGCCCAGCCACTCTGCGGCATGTGGGGTCCTCCCGGACCGGGGCACGAACCCGTGTCCCCGGCATTGGCAGGCGGACTCTCGACCACTGCGCCACCTGGGAAGCCTTGTATGTCGTCTTTGCACAAATGTCTATTTAGGTTTTCTGTCCATTTTTCAATTGGGTTGTTTTTGTTGTTGTTGTTTATTGAGTTGTATGAGTTGTTTGTGTACTTTGGAAATTAAGCCCTTGTTGGTCGTATTGTTTGCAAATATTTTCTCCCATTCTGTAGGTTGTCTTTTCATTTTGTTTACGGTTTCCTTTGCTGTGCAAAAGCTTGTAAGTTTGATTAGGTCTCATTTGGTTATTTTTGCTTTTATTTTTATTGCCTTGGGAGACTGACCTAAGAAAATGTTGGTATGATTTATGTCAGTATGTTTTGCCTATGTTCTCTTCTGGGAGTTTTATGGTGTCATGTCTTATGTTCATGTCTTTAAACCATTTTGAGTTTTTTTGTGTATGGTGTGTGGGTGTGTTCTAACTTCATTGGTTTGCATGCAGCTGTCGAATTTTTCCAACACCATTTGCTGAAGAGACTTTTTCCCATTGTATATTCTTGCCTCCTTTGTTGAAGATTGACCATAGGTATATGGGTTTATTTCTGGGCTCTCTATTCTGTTCCAATGATCTATATGTCTGGCTTTTTTTAAAAAAACATCTTTATTGGAGTATAATTGCTTTACAATGGTGTGTTAGTTTCTGCTTTACGACAAAGTGAACCAGTTATACGTATACATATGTTCTCATATCTCTTCCCTCTTGCGTCTCTCTCCCACCCTCCCTATCCCACCCCTCTAGGTGGTCACAAACGACCTAGCTGATCTCCCTGTGCCATGCGGCTGCTTCCCACTAGCTATCCACCCTGTGTTTGGTAGTGTATATATGTCCATGCCACTCTCTCACTTTGTCACAGCTTACCCTTCCCCATCCCCATATCCTCAAGTCCATGCTCTAGTAGGTCTGTGTCTTTATTCCCGTCCTACCCCTAGGCTCTTCATGACATTTTTTTCCTTAGTTTCCATATATATGTGTTAGCATACGGTATTTGTTTTTCTCTTTCTGACTTACTTCACTCTGTATGACAGAGTCCAGGTCCATCCACCTCACTACAAATAACTCAGTTTTGTTTCTTTTTATGGCTGAGTAATATTCCATTGTATATATGTGCCACATCTTCTTTATCCATTCATCTGTCTATGGGCACTTAGGTTGCTTCCATGTCCTGGCTATTGTAAACAGAGCTGCAGTGAACATTGTGGTACATGACTCTTTTTGAATTATGGTTTTCTCAGGGTATATGCCCAGTGGTGGGTTTGCTGGGTCGTATGGTAGTTCTATTTGTAGTTTTTTAAGGAACCTCCATACTGCTCTCTATAGTGGCTGTATCAATGTACATTCCCACCAACAGTGCAAGAGTGTTCCCTTTTCTCCACACCCTCCCCAGCATTTATTGTTTCTAGATTTTTTTGATGATGGCCGTTCTGACCGGTGTGAGATGATATCTCATTGTAGTTTTGATTTGCATTTCTCTAATGATTA